CAGCTCATGATCTGTCCATCCCTTCTCAGTGTGTGGCTGTGTTTGACCACTTTGAGCCCATCTCTTTGTCCTCTCTGGAGCAGGTAATGTGCAGCATGAAGCCATCTGGTTCCCCCTTTGATGTGGTCCCCCCTCGACTGCTAAAGGAAGTTTTTCCTACCCTGGGTCCTTTTATCCTCGCTATTCTGAATAGCAGTTTATCCTCAGGTGTGGTGCCAAAGACTTTTAAACATGCTGCTGTCCAGCCCCTCCTGAAAAAACCTAACCTTGACCCCTCAGTCATGTCCAACTTCCGGCCTGTCTCCAGACTCCCATTCACCTCTAAACTACTGGAAAAAATTGTGGAGTCTCAGTTGAAACAGTTTTTGGGGGATCACGCTATCCTTGAGTTATTCCAATCTGGCTTCAAATCTCTCCATAGCACTGAAACTGCTCTACTGAAGGTTTTTAATGACATTTTCATATCCACAGACGCAGGTGATTCTGTGCTGCTTGTCCTATTGGACCTTACATCTGCTTTTGACACCATCGACCACAATATCCTCATTTCTAGACTGGAGCAGTGGGTGGGCATCACAGGGTCAGCCCTTAAATGGTTTGGGTCCTACCTCTCTGACAGAACCTTCTGTGTCAATATCAAAGATTTTAGTTCGGCATCGACCGCACTCCAGTGGGGGGTACCGCAGGGGTCCATCCTCGGTCCCCTTCTCTTTTCTTTTTTTTTTAAATTTTTATTTATCAGGAGAATATATAATTGACATTACATACATTAAACAGAATTTACATGACTTCTCCAATTTTTTCTTTTTTTTTTCCTTCCCCCTTTCCCCCCTCCCTCCCCTCTACCCCTCCCTCCCCTTCCCCCCTTAACCAAAAACAAGACAAAATAAGGAAAGAAAAAAAAAAGGAGAGAGAAAAAAAAAAAGAGAGAGAGAGGGGGAGGAGGAACGAACAGGAGGGACCCAACAAACCAAAAGGAAAACAGTATTTCAGTCTTTCATTTATCCTCTAAAAACAAGTCACATGGTAATGTAATGAGTCAATCATATCAGTCTATACGCTATGAAGGTAAAGATTTTACATATGACACAAAGGGTGTCCACTTGTGGGTAAATTTTTCTGAACTACCTTTCACTGTTAGTAAAATTTTTTCCATCTTCAAGTATAATCTTACAGTATTAAGCCATTGTGATGTAGATGGTGGTGTGGGAGATTTCCAGGCGAGCAAAATACAACGTCTGGCAAGGAGAGAGCAAAAGGCCAAGACCTCCCCCTGCTGGCGGGATAGATTAAGTGTGGTCCCAGGAACTCCAAAAATGGCAATAAGTGGATCACTTTGAAACTGAATCTTAAAAACTCCTGAGAGTATGGAGAAAAAATATTTCCAAAACCCTTGCAGTTTTGGGCAGAAAAAGAACATATGACTTAAGTTGCAAGGTGAAGTCTGACATCTATCACACTGGTCTGGTATTGAGGGGAACATTTTAGATAAACGTGTTTTTGAGAAGTGTACTCTATTTATTACTTTAAATTGTATTAACTGTAGTCTGGCACATGGTGTACTCTGACGTATGCTGAGAATAACTTTATCCCACCATGAATCTGATAGTTTAACACCTAGTTCACGTTCCCATGCAGTTCTAGTTTTACCCGATGAGTCGGCCTCTATTGCCATAAGTTTTCCATAAATAATTGAAAGAGGAGATTTCAAATTGGGGCTCAAAACTAAGAGTTCAACCCATGGTGGGTCAGTAGGCAAAGTTAGAAAATTTTGAAACTGCGATGAAACGCAATGCCTAATTTGGAAGTAAAGAAACAAATGTGAAGTGGGTAGATTAAATTTAGAAGACAATTCTGAAAAACTAAGAAATAAACCATCTTCGTACAGGTCTCTCATTGTTCTAATACCTTTCTCATACCAAATTCTATAGGCAGCATTATTAGATGCTGGAGAAAAAATGTGATTCTTTAGTAACGGCATTTTATTAGAGGATGATACAAATTTAAAGTGGGACCTAAATTGTGACCAGATCCTGAGTGTTGAGAGCACTATAGGATTTGTAGTAACTGAGGATAATTTAATTGGTAATGATGAATAAATAATTGAAGCGGGCGAAAAAGATGTAGAAATCGACTGAATTTCAAGTTTACACCAAATCAGATCAGGTGAATTTAACCAATAAGTCAGTTTATGGATATGTGAGGACCAGTAATACATTGTAAAATTAGGTAGAGAAAGACCCCCGTTTGTGGTGAACTGTTGTAATAAAGAAAGTCTCATTCTGGGGGCCTTTCCGTTCCATAAAAAAGATGAGACCATCTGATCCAGGGACCTGAAGAACTGTTTGGGCAAGAACAGAGGGATATTTTGATATAAAAACAAAAGTCTAGGTAGCACATTCATTTTGATAATATTAATCCTACCAATCAATGAAAGAGGGAGAGAGTTCCATCTCTGTAAATCTGATGCAATTTGGGAAACTAGTGAGGCATAATTCTGAGAAAACATTGAGGGCAAAGTACGTGTAATATTAATTCCTAAATACCTAAATCCCGAGGGACTGAGCCTAAAAGGGATATCAGAAGGCTTAAGCTTTAAAGCTAATGAATTCACTGGATAGCATTCACTTTTAAGTGAGTTAATTTTATAGCCAGCCCCTTCTCTTTTCTTTATACCTGCTGCCACTAGGTGCTATCTTCCGCAAACACGACATACCCTTTCATTTCTATGCCGATGATTGCCAAATTTACTTCCCCCTGAGGCACAGAGGCACACGCTCTATTCAGCCTCTTCTTGACTGCCTGGCTGACATCCGGGACTGGATGGCTTTAAACTTCTTAAGCTTCAATGAGAAGAAGTCTGAAGTCATGCTGTTCCATCCCAGTGGCTCACTCATGAACCATGACATTGACCTTTTCTCTCTAGCCCCGCTAGAGAAACAAAAGGTCACTAATCTGGGGGTGATAATGGACCCGTCCTTAAAACTCAACAGTCACGTAAACATGATGGTCAAATCCTGTTTTTTTCAGCTGAGACGGCTGTCTAAGCTGAAGCCTATACTCTCCAAAAAGAACCTTGAGACAGTGATCCACGCCTTCATAACATCTAGGCTTGATTACTGCAATTCACTTCTGTTTGGAATCAGTCAGTCCTCCATTGCTCGTCTACAACTGGTCCAAAATGCTGCAGCCCGATTTTTAACTGGTACAGGCTATAGAGAGCACATCACGCCAGTTTTGGCCTCCCTGCACTGGCTACCCATTCACCTTCGGATCCATTTCAAAATTCTCATGTATGTTTTTAAATCACTGAACAGTTCCGCCCCATCCTATCTCACTGATCTTCTGCAGCCATATGTCCCACCGCGCTCTCTGAGGTAAGCAGACCAGATGCTTCTCTCAGTCCCAGAAACCCGTCGTAAGCTCAGGGGTGACAGGGCTTTCTCTGTTGCAGGTCCACGACTGTGGAATGAGTTGCCACTGAGTGTCCGGCAGGCTCCCACACTCTCAGTCTTTAAGTCTCGCTTGAAGACCCACTTCTATTCTCTTGCCTTTAACACGGTGTGATTTGTTTTGGTCCGGTCTGTTCTCTACTCTGTTGGCCATTTTAGTTAGCTTCTGCTGCTATTTGTACCTGTATTTCTATTTTATGTTTTCCTGTCTGCTGTGCATGTTTGGTTCTTTTGTACAGCACTTTGGTTGGCCTTGTTGCTGTTTTAAGTGCTATATAAATAAATTGGTATGGTATGGTATGGTAGGTTTGAAAAACTGATCATGATGAGATAACGCCACTAGATGGTGCAATTGCGATGATAAACTTAATTTTTGACATTGTTTTCTATGAAATAACATATTTTTACAGTTGGGCCATTGAAGAGGAGACCAGAGGAGCTTAATAAATACATAAAATGGGTTTTTATAATATAGATTTTCCAGGGGGTGAACTTGTAACATTTTTCAATCTAAATTGATATTAAATTACAGGGTGGTAGTTAATTACATGGGTGAATTGATTTGTTGGTTAATTGGGAATGTTTTTATATTAGATCACCAGGGGGAGTTGGGAGGTTCTGTTATTTACATACATATGCACGTTAAAACATGTTAAATGTTTAATTCAGATTTTTATTCGCACAAACACATTTTTCAGCTGTGACAGCCTAAACATACCGGCAGTGCTCTGTGCAATTAATTGGATATTATATGATTGAAGGGGAAGGGGGCACAGAGTTTTTTCTTTTTTTTCTTTTCAAGATGGACGCAATGGACCAGGCCTGCCCCTTGGAGTCAAAAAGGGAAGTTCAGGTTCTACAACTGATTAATATATTAGATAAGAACACCTTCTTGCATTAGGATGCCTCCTGCAATTATTAAATCATATTTAGAGCCCAAACTTAGAAAATGTTAGAAATTTCCATTATGTCATTGCACCACACCAGGGAGATGCTGAATTCCTAGGCAGATGTCCAGATGCTGGGTCAGGCGGCCTGAGGCTGGCAGGTCACTCGTTAGCCGTCAGCTCTGGCATCTTATTTTGACCTGAGGCTGCCAGTTCCCGCTTTAGCCAGTAGGCATCTCCCGCCAACATATAAGGAGTAGTTCACATTCAACCAGAGAAAAGTGATTAATTGCTTGCTTATCTGGCGGTATTGAACTGGGAGTTTTTATGCGGGGGAACCCCTTATGGGACCCCTGCCCAGGGAGAGTTGTTAAGATATTTTTAATCTAGACTGGTCCTATGGTTTTGATCTGCTTAAAGACGGGATTATAATGAAATTATGACCCGGTTCTGACTGGGTTAAAGTGGGCCAGCAGCTCTCAAGAGAGTCTCCCTGGGATTTCAATATCAGTCAAATAGTTTAATCTGCTTGCCACATCACGTAGAAAGGCTTTGAAGCACCGTTTCATATTTCCTAACTCATCAGTCCACAAAAGACCACACTTAGCCACGCCCACTCATACACTGATAGGCTGAGCTCCCCTTCTGTGAAAGGCGGAGTCTAGGACCCTATAAAGGAGTAATGAGACGAGACATCGGGGCTCTTCTTCCGGGTCTGTGAACGTGTCACAGACTGTAGAGTCCAGCGCTGTGAATTATAATCTTTTCCTGCCTTTTCTAATCTAATTGATAAAACTTAATTGACGTTTCCTTGATTTATTGATTAGTATAGTGCCACTTCTGAGGGAGGTCCGAGCCGGGGGTAAAGAGGTGGGCTGAAGGGGGTTTCCAGATCCGGTGGCCAGCACCCGTCTTTAACAAGCTATATATTCTGTTGGAGGTTTCTTCCTATTAAAAGGGAGTTGTACCCTACCACTGTAGGGGATAGGAGATTGTGACAAAATGAAGATCTGATGCTTTCTGCTGGCTTCTACAGATGGATCACTTTTTACTAATTGACATTTCATAATCTACTGTAAGTGAATTAATACATTTTGGAATTAAGGGACTGTACTTTGATTCTGAATTGGATTTATGATTTAGATTGTAATTTGGACTTTGTCGTTTCTGCCTAGTTCAGTGAGATTACTTTTGTTGTGAACTGGCACTACAGAAACATATACTGAATTGAATTAAAAAAGCTCCAACAGATGCATTATCACTTTTACCTGACAACTTAAAACCACTGTAGGTAATGTGGCATGAAACATACCAAGCAAGTGGATTTCATCGATGATAAGAATGGCTACTTTCTGAACATAGCTTCGATTTTGCCAGCTTCTGCTCACGCCATCCCACTTCTCTGGTGTGGTGACTATTAGATCAGCTTGCACGATAGCCCTCATGTCTGGAGTCACGTCACCTGTCAGCTCCACCACTCTAAATTACACAAACAGGAAGACTTTCATTCAATAATATTCCGGCAAACAGTAACACTGCCTTCTGACACTGTTGCTGTGCAATGGGATTGTCTTTGAGAAGGTCAACTTTCTGATTTTCATACTTCTTTCCAAGTTTCTCCTCAATCCTGATCTTCCAGTCTTCGATCCTTTCTCTCACCAGGGCTTTTAGGGGGGCAATGTAGACCACCTGAACACGCCACAAAAACAGCAAAGATTAACATTTTATGAAAAAATAAATTAAAATGACAACAAAAATACTTTCAAAGCTCACAGTCCTGCATATCAATAGTAAGTACATCTGTGCTCCAATTCAAGATGGAGCATATGGATCACATTAGATTTACTGCAAATTGTTGTTTGTTAATTTCAGAAGAAGAAATAATCTCCCGGGCTTATTTATGGCATTGTGGCTTGGCTGAAAATAGTGAAGCTAAAAGAGTGAAAAAGTCCTTACTTTTGTCACTCTTAGACAGGGATTAGAGCTGTCATTTCTAGCCCGAGCCCTAAGCCGGTCACACCCTACCCGAATTCGGGGCAGGCCGGGTCATGATAATGTGCTGGATGGGCGGGCCGGGTCGATGTTAGGCCTTTAATTGGGTCAGGATCAGCCACGATCCAATTATATGATAACGTGGCCTGCCTAACATTCACCAGCCGCACACGGCCATTTCACCGTGAGCTGACTGGCCTTGAAAGAGGTAAAAAATTCAGTTAAGCTTCAGATGGGACTATACTGCCAGGAAGTGACCCATCACCCAAATGGACGTTCATTCAGCCGCTGCACTCAGCGGACGTGCACGGCCGACAACCCAAACAGGTGAGATCCCAAAGCAGACATGTCAGAGCGGTCCGCGTGTCTGAGTAATTCAGAAGAATACAGACAGAAACAGGGTTTAAATGCTCTTTGACAGTCATGAAAGGACAAACACCATCTCAGCTCCTATCTTCTGCCCCATTTATTCAGCCGTGTGTCTCCGACAGTTTATAACTAATTAAAAATGTTGGGTTTTTTTCCGGGTTCAGACCTGTAATTTTTTTTCCCCTTGTCCTGTCCAGCATTGTGACACTCAGAATTATTGTCTGAGTGTCAAGGTGAGGCCCACCAGATTTACTTTCACAAGCAGAGCATTATGGCTGGCATTAATGCTCTGCTTGATATATAAATAAAACTTTATTAGAATTTGCTTTGGGTTTGTTTCAGATGTAATGGACATGGGGATGAAAAACAAAGAAGAGAACAAAGCAGAAATGTGGGAGAAGGGTTAAAAGTTAAAGAAGGAGATAGGAATAGAGGAGAGAGAGAGAGAGGTATAAAGAGAACACAAATCAACATCATTGAAGTCTGCCTCTAGACCTGCGGAAAGGAAAAAAAACAAAACAGAGAAACCACAACAACAAGCAACTTATATAATGAGATGTTTCAGCACAGTTGACCTGACTGAAAAATGTTGGATTGTATACCTGGATTACTGAGAATGGACTTTGTTGTTTTCAACCAGTTTGACATGACTGTCAACAAGGAAGAGGGCTGGAAATGGAGGAGGGGGCGTGACAAAGAGACCAACTTATCACCAACATAACTGGTTTGTTCCACTTTGGAGAAAGCTGTTGGGGGAAGAATCAGTTTTGTGTTGTGTGATTCCTTGACTGATGAAGCCTTACAGATCGAAGGGGAAACGTTTCAGCACAAAAAAAAAAAAACTGTCCAGATGACCTGACTGAAAAATATTGGATTGTATACCTGGATTATTGAGCATGGACTTTGTTGTTATATATAATGAGAATTATAATATCATTAGAAAGTATTTTATACAGTACATGGTAATACAAGATGTATTTAGTGGCCACCACAACCCAATGGAGTGTGTATCTGATAAACACCTGGATCTAAACACCTGCGTGAGCATGCTTGTCACTATAAGGTTTCTCCATAAAAATGTTCAATAGTGGATGTGGGGACCAACAGACCCGTCCCCAAAGGACACGATGGTAACACAGGGAAGACCGGAGCCACAGACGCAAAGCGGTCCCCAAGCCCGGAGCTCCGGGAGTCCCCCAACAGAGACACCCGCACCCCCCAGAGAGGGAAGCAAAGGGAAGCCCTGGGCGATCACCAGCAACCACAATGCAGAAACACCAGGAGGCTGCTGCGACGAGTCCACAGGCACCAACGGCAACCCACCCCTCCAGAGTATATCGGCCATGGAAGCCGAGCCCCAAGGTCATACCACCCCCAACAGAGGCCCGACAGAGCCAGGGCACCCAGGCCCTGGCAGGCAGCCACCAGGGTGGGCCTGTAAACACCCCACCACCCAGCCCCAGATGCTGAGAACCGCCAATGCACCGGTGGCAGGGAGGGCCACCACCGTAGGGGAGCATGACAGTGGGGAGTAGACCCCACATTAAATGGATGGTCCAAATTGATCCAAGAGAGGGGACCACCTAAAACCCAACCCGAGACATAAACAGGCACACAGAGAAAGCCCAACCGAGCCTCTGTCGGGTCGTCCATGCGCCCCACCCACCCGACAGTGACCGCATGCCGGCCCCAGGCTGGGGACCAGAGCAGCAGGGTGCAGTAGCTTAGGAAGGCCGGCCCAGTGCACCAAGGACCAGGCACCCCAAAAGCCCCACACCACAGGCCCGGAGAAGCCCCCGCGTGCCGCCCATCCCCCCCCCCCCCCCCACACACACACAGCATGCCCCACCGTGAATGTCACGTCAGGCCAACCAGCCAGCACCCCGCCAAAGCGAAGCAACGCCCCCAACCGCCGCCTTACACCACCAACGACCACACACACACAACCACAGCTGACCCCCACTGGAACCCGGCAGCCACCCCAGCCAAAGGGCCGGCCATCGCAACCAGGTACCCAGGGAGAACTGGAGCAATGGCCCCATCCCCAATCGTCTCCCAAGGCCCAACGCCCACCCACAGCCCAGACCCCAACAAGGCAGCCTACCCATCCTCCCTGCCCCCGACCCTAAATATCAAACGGAGAACGAGGTTGTAAGGAAAAAAAAAATATATATATATATATATAAAAAAAAAAAAATATATATATATATATATATATATATATATATATATATATATAGAGAGAGAGAGAGAGAGAGAGATAAATAATTAACAGGAAGACCCCACTACTCCCTCTTCCCATTCAAATAAGGTGTTGATACATGTTGTTATATAGTGTGTTTAACATGGGGGGGTGAGGCAGCGACCGGCACAGACCCACCCCCTCCCCAGAGAGCAGGCAGTGCCCGTTCACCTCCCCAACCCTTGCCCAGAACCCTAAATATCTACATGCTACATATGAGTGGGCACAGGTCAGGCAGGGCAGCCGGCTTGGGACCCGAAAATCCCAGGTTCGATCCCCAGTCACTGCACATCACGTGGCGTCTCTGGGCAGCACGTCTCATCCCCAAAATGTCCCCCGGGCGCTTTCAATAGCTGCCCACTGCACCACCTGGTGGTGGATGGGTTAAATGCAGAGACTAATTTCGCCATTGTATGGAAACATACAGTGCTGACATTGTGATGACATTATTATTATTATTATTATTATACATGCACGTGTCATGAGAATGTTATATGTGAGTGAGTAGGTTGTTTAATAAAATTGGGGCCCAGGACTCCATGAACCACGGAGATGGAGGATCCTCCCCGCAGCTCAGTAGTGCACCTGAACCCCAAGGCCCTGCTTGAGTGGTGGTGTGATGGAGTGGGTGGAGGAAGACGTCGAAATGAGGAGGAACAACTGAGGTGGCAATGCCCTCCCAGGGGGCCAGCTCCCCCATTGACCCCAATATGCACCCCCCATTCTCCGAAATTCACCAGGGGAGGGAGGCTCCAGTGCATCCGTCCAGGAGTAGGAGGCAGCCGCACCACCAGGGACCCAGGCCACGGACCAGCACATATCCCCGAGGACTGACCAGAACCCGGGCCAGCGACCCAAGCCCCCCTGAGATCTTCCAGACCCCCAACCCGATCCCCAGCTCAACACCCAGCCCCCCAACCAAAGAAGCCACCAAACTCCAGCAGCGACAATCAGCCAGGAGTGCCTGAACAGCCACAGACAGCGCACCACGATGAACGAGAGCGCACCCCCACGCCCACAAAAGGACCGACCAGTCCACCATAGCAACAGCCACAATGAGAGCACCCCACGCAAGGGAGGGCACACGCCTAAAATGCCCAGACACCACCGGGCCAACAGTGCAGAGCCACCTGAGCGAGAGCCCCCAATACACCCCCCACCCAATCACCAGACCACGGCCACAGCCAGGCAAAAAGACACCCAGGCTGAATCCACCCGTCCCCTCCCATGGCCCTTCCTCCCCCCACCAACAGTATCACCCCCCACGATAGAGGCCCCAAAGCCCACCAATGCACCAAGGGCCCCAGGCCAGAGCCAGGCACCAGCGCATGCACTGGCCCAAGACCCCGACAACATGCCCGCCAAGACCCGAGACCCCCGGGTCAAGCCGGGACCCCAGCCCGGGAGTGACACTCCCCCAGAACCCCGAACCCACCCAGGAGCAGCCAGGCTACCAGTCCAGTATCCTGTGCCCACCGGTACAGACCGCCCAGAAGCCTGCATGCAGCCAGCAGAGGTCAACGCCCAGAACCACCAAAGTCACCTCCCCAGTCAAGCGCCATTGCCCCAGGCCCACGACCCCCCCCCCCATGCCCCCAGCTTCGATACCCCCCCCACATCAACAATGATACCCCACGGGACAAAATCAAAGGGGTTCACCCACCTCCACTACGTGTTGGAGTCGATCAAAAAAGCCCAGAGAGATTGGTCTGATGTGGAGGTACAGGCTGTCTCAAGACTGATGTAATCCAACAAAAGTTCTTTATACTGTTTAATACTAAGAGTATTTTTATTTTTCCAATTCATCAGTAAAGTTTTTTTTGCTATACATAAAGCAGTAAAAATCATGTGAATTGACTTTGTCTCCAAGGTGACATCATCTAAGTGGCCCAATAAGCAACCTGACGGAGTGAGTGGAATATTACATCTCAGACACTTTTGATAAGTCTTCACATATCCGGCACCAAAACCTCTGAACAGGTGGACAGAACCAAAATGTGTGGATGTAATTGTCAGGAATATTGTCTGTGCACTGTGAGCAAATATTAGATGATGCAAAACCCATCCTGAACATCCGCTGACCTGT